ATGTATATATGTATTGGTAGTAAAAGAATATGAAAGGGTCGAAAACCATGCTTTGAGAAACGAAAAGCTTAGAAATTAATTGCGGGTTACGAAGTATGCTATTAAAGGTTCATATGGAAGGAGTTTTATCGAGAATATTACCTGGAAATTTATTGGGAGCCAAAATGATTTCCCAAGCAATCTTTTGGCGGGAACTTGAGCCCCAAGAAACCTTTTGTTATTATATTAAGATTAAGATAGATACTACAACTCTTTTACAATTTATTCCTTACCCCTTTAATTAATATTATACAACCGGTTGTACCTTGTGGATGATAGTAAGGTACAGTCGTTTTTTTTGAATTATCGTGAGTTTTGAGCCTCATTCCCCCCGTCTATGATTCCAGATGCACGTTGAATCCTTCACCATCGGCATCATAGCTTGACCTTCACCATCAGCTCATCGCTCCGACCTTCACCATCACCATCATTGCGAAGAGCAGAGTTCCTTCATTGATGCAGTCCGACCAAGAGCAAAATTCCTCTTGCTGCAACCTGATTCATTTGAGGATCACCTGGTCGCTCAATCGTCGACGCTCCGACGCATCAGGATTCAGGCGTCTCAGGTCTGTCGTCGTTCCTCCATCTTCGGTGCTGCAAGGATTCTCGATGCTCTGTCTAGATTAGATTCCAATGAGATTGACATGACAAATGTGTCCAACCCTTGCAGCATCACTCTCACATACAAAATGGGTAAAGCACTAAAAAGATATATGAGCATAGACACATGAGTATTTGAGAACATGAGCGATTTCGAATGACGCTTCGAATTTTTCGATGCTCATTTTGTAAGTTATGTATGCTCATTTGGATACACTCAATTCCCTGTTCGTTCCTTGCCTTTTGTGCCCAACACTATTCGCCTACCTTAAGTGCAATTTCATTTGACAATAAGTTGATGCTTGTTTATGTTATACTGATATGAGCATACATAAATGAATATTTGAGCATACTAGAGATTTTAAATGAGCTTTTTGAATTTTTTCGACACTCATTTCATAAGTTATGTATGCTCATTTGATATTGGTGTAATGCTCATTTTAAAATGTCATATCCATGCATATGTCAAAGTATAATATTACACCAGATTCGTATATTAGACTCATACGGGTTCATTATAGACATTTTAAAATTACTTTAAATCTATTAGCTTTTAAAGGTACGTTCAACATGCCACTACTATCGATTGTGTCCCTCAACCCACGCAATAGCCAAGGAGGTTGTGCAGTCTACTTCTCCGTTAAGCTTCAATAATATCGTTGAAATCACCCATCAGGAGCCAGGGTTTACCAGACATTTGAGATAGCCGTTTAATAAGCTCCCAGGATTCTCGTTGCCTACTCCGCTCAGGACATCGTACCTCTACACTTCTATTGTGATACTTTCTCGACACATCAAATACAATCCACCGCTAAGTCCCTGACTGTCCACCACAAAGCACTTGTGGAAACCTAACTAGTCTATGATTTCTTTGCATCGACTCCCATCCGTCTTTGTCTCATTAAAAGCAAAATACTTGGTCGTTTGGATTGCACCGCATGGATGAGAACCTAGATTATCGACAAGTTTCCCAAGCCACAACAATTCCAATTGACGATTCCCATACTCTTTCTGCTCTCCCGACGCGCCTTCCACGAAAATGAGACACAAAGCGCCGCCTGGTACAACATCGTCGATCTCCACAAAACTACCCTAGACTAGCGCTACGACCGCCCGCGGTTGACTGAAACTTTATCTTAGAATCATGATCTTGATGTTAAGATACACATTTCAATGTTGAAATATAAAAAAAATGTTGATATATTTTATTTACTTTTTTCTGGTAATAAAACTAAAATGAGTTCAAGTAAAGTTCGGGTATTTGTGGAGGCACCTGGGATTAAAATTAGTGTTTCGTGTTTTTTAGGTTTAAAAAACTCAAGCAGTTGAAATTTCATTTAAAAAAACTTTATATATTCAATATTGCTGTCATATGAAAGATCATAAAAAATTATGAATTTTCAAATATATTTTTAAAATTTGGAGTACAAATAAAAGACTTACAAAAAGAGGAAGTCTTAAAAAAAAAAAGAGGAAGTCTTTTAACATTGGGATGTTGTTAGCGATTAGCATGATAGCACCCGCCCATTTTAAAAACCAGCAGGATTGTCCATGCCAACAACACTCGACAAACAAGTGGTCAGCCTTAGGGAGTGTTCAAACAAATTAAAAAAGTACTTTTCTACTTTTAGCTTCAAAAAGTTGAAAGGTGTTTTAGAGAGTGTTTGCAAAGATTAAAAAAAACATTTCTCATCTTTTAACTTAAAAAAACTCAAAGAGGTGTTTCAACTACTTGCGGCTTCTACTTAAAATATGTACTTTAAAGTCAAAAATTGAAAGCTGATATATAGCTGCTTCTAACTACTTCTCGTTTTTTTGTAAATAATTCCAACTTTGGGTATTTATAAGGAGAGATGTATTGTGCTAAATCTAAAATACCCTTCTTCATTTCACCTTACATCATGCCCTAACTCTCTCCGGTCATCATCTTCCACCGTGCCTTGCCGTTGCTATAGTGGATTCTCTTGGTCCTACAACAATCCGAACAAGGCAAATTTGTCCAAATGAATGCTAACATTCTTTCCACATTTCTATTTTTAGAGATGTTCCAATTTAAATTTAAATTTTATTTTTTCTTTTTCCGTTTAACATGTATGATCGGTGTGGGCACCGCAAAATCCTAGAAAGTTAAACACTATAATTAATAAAAATGAAAAAATAAATTGAGAATTTTGAATGAGAAAAGTAAAGAAATTGAAAAAGTGCAGATGGGGTGCAGAAGACGACGACAAAATTTTTGGAGCTCCATTTCTCAGCCATCACCGACTGAACAATTGCCATTAGTTAATATATTCCATATTTATTTAAATAATGTAAGGGCCTTTTTGGATATAAACGAAATATCATTTCTAAAATCACTTTTTTTTTTATCAAATACTTCCATTTCATCTTACAGATATTATTGACTTTCTTTATGGTCCGATATTGCTGATTGGTTTTTTCGTAGTTTGGCTTCTTTCTCTTTTCATTGTTTTATATAAATTGGGTCAGCTATAGCCCCCCGATTTATATCTGTTTTACTTTTCTTTCCGTTGTATTTGGAGAATGTATGTGTTCTCGGAAGAGGTTTTTGGTCTAGTCCCCCTCTCTTTGTACCCTTTTATTTTTTAATAAAATTCGGCAATTTTTCTCCGGCATTTGCCCCATTAATTTTGGTGGTTTGCTTTCCGAGTAAAAAAAACTACCTGCTTAGGCTACTTTTACTATTAAGCAGTTTCCCTAATGTCACTTTATAAAATCACTTATTTTAAGTTGAAGCAAATGGAAACACTCCTTTATTCTGTTTTTCATCTTTTATTACACAAAAAACACTTATTTTATTAAACACTACCAGCTTTTACTTTTCCGTAAAGACTTTTCTCAAACACTATCAACTTAACTGTTAAGCACTTTCTCTAAAATTATTTAAAAAAATTCATTTTTTTAAGTTGAAGTAATCTCAAACACTCCCTCATCTGTCTCCCACTTTTTCCCTTTCTTTTTGCTGGTCCTCTACATTTAGGCCCTTCCACTCCCTTTTCTATTTTAATCCCCTCATTTGGCCCTCAATGTAAGAACTTAAGAAAAATATCAATTTTTAACATTTTGGACTCATAATACTTTTGAACTATAGGTGATCTAAGAGCTTAGAGCATCACCAATGGGTCACCGTTAACATCAAATAAATTATGACACATGACATTCACTAAATGGAATAGTCATCCACATCATGTTGAGTGGTGTTGCATCATGACAATCAAACCCGAAAATTAAGTCCAATGCTTTCATGTTAACCGCCTATTAGTAGTTCATGCGTAACCAGATAAAAACACTTCATACATCATATTTGATCAAACCCCACCTACACTCTGGTATATTATTCAAGTCCTTAAATGTGAGAATCATCGCATCTCCTATTGTATTTTGAAATAATCACTTCTGGTATATTAGCTAAATAATTAATTATCTGCAAATATATATATATATACAATATATATGTATATATATATATATGTATGTATATGTATATATAGCTTTATTAGTACTTCCGCAATAAAAATATAGAAAAGTGGTGCCATTAAGCTACCAGAAATTGAATGCAACGACGAAGAGAACGCTTGTAGTCTGCTGCCTTGAATCACACATCACGAAGCTTTAGTGCACTTTACCTTACCTGGGGAAAAGGAAGAGTGGCTGACAGATATAATTTTCCCACTAGTGAAGCATATATGTCGTATATAAATTTATTTTACGGTAACTATTTTCATCCGCGGAAGTTTTCTAGAATTTTGACAATTTTCTCCCTCGAGTTTGATGAGTCAACATGTCGAAACCGTTGTTATCATCTTACTGTGAGGTTGACAAAGTTTACATTAATTCTTAACAGGTCAACATTACTTTAGCTATGACATATTGCATTGGAGATTTGGAGATGAACAAGTATCTGAACTGTTAGACGATAATGACGAGTACGACTTGACGAGGCATTCTTTTTTAATGTCAACAGTGGCCCATTGGTGATGCTCTTAGGATCCAAAATATTTATGCTGATTTGAATGTTTATCCACTAACCATTTTCATGAAATGATGCATTTGGACCAATGGTCCAAATATGAGTCCATCGTTGATGTAGTATTGTTTTAAGAACCAAACTTTTGTCGTCCATAGCTATTTTTCGTTCCCTTTCAGCAGCAAGGCGGTTTACTATAGATGAAAACCACTCATTACGTAACTTCTCTTCCTCGGTTTAAGCCGTTTAACATTGTGTGCAAACTCCTCCAAGCTTAGCTGATCAAATGGCACTGCTACGGGATCAAGAGCTAATTAAATGTACCATGGGATGGTAGAGAAAGCTAACTGAAGGGAATAGCAGATCTCTGGAGTTAGCAAAGCATGACCAGTCAATTACATGTCCCAATTCAGGGTCTAACATAGCCCAAACACATAGGACTAAAATACAGTTACATTTACACACATGATAACTACTGAACAATATATTACTCAGTAATTTCGAATGGAGCCAATGGATTAATTAATAAAGAATGTTTACAAGATACTTAATGGTGTCAAATTTGACTTCAGTGATTAAAAAGAAATACTTAATAGCCCACTTTAATTAATTACTCCGTATAATATACTACGCACTTAATAAGGTGTTAATAGTTCACCCGATCGCCCATATACACAAAATTGTGAAGGTTCCACTGAATCTGAATGTACTTATGCACCCATACTTGAAATTAAATCTCAACTTTGAAATCCATCCTGAAAAATATCAGTCCTCATAGAGGAGGCTTTCCTGAGCTTGATCTGGAGTTCAGATTGTTTGGGTACAACAAGTTCCACTCCATCACCTGCCATTGAGAAATATCTCTCGAGCAACATCTGCAGTTGCAACAGAAAAACACAAATTGAGATTGAATGTGTACGTGAAATACTTGTGTCGTCCATTAGAGGAAAAATAGATAAATGGATAGGCTGGCTATTCAGATTGTGCATACACCATCCAGCAAAACTTGCACGGAAGATTTAGAACAGAACTAAAAATGTACCACAGCTGCATATGCATCAAGCTTCCCTTTACGAGTTGATCTGTTGAGGCCCCTGCAAGAGAAATGTGACAATTTTTTTTGTCATGACCGTTGTTAATCTGTCGCACGACACCTAAAGTATAAAATAAAAGAATTACATAAGGCATTTAGAATGGAATCTTAACTCATCATAAGACTTAAAGGTATCAAGTTTGTAATCTGGCTCTTCCGTAATTTCAATTCGTGATATTATTTAGGTGCAGGTTACCCTCTAGTTAAGGAACACATATTTCTTAGGGAACACAATGAATTAAGAATACAATGTTACAAATATATATTACTAATATCCTTACATAGTAACCATGTGGTTCATAGCCTCAGTTGATGTGCCATACTCATCCTGAAGGTATACTCTCCATCCCCTAGTTCATAATTGAGTTCATCAGATGCTACCCAGAATGATGCAAGGAATTAAATTTACAGTCAGCATCCCTCAAACTCTCAGAGTCACTTCTTCATGAGTCTAATTACCTAAAACACATACCAGTGCTGAATGTAGAAGTTCAAGAGCAGCTGCTCAAAGTTGAGCATCTATAACCCATATGAGGAGAAGAAATATGTGGAACAAAATTGTATTTGCTAACCAAAATAGATATAAAAACTCGAATATGCTGATGTATATCCTATAATTATGAAAAAAATGATGCACTACCTATAACTCTACACTTTGTTTTCACGAAAATAACTTGTGTGAAATGTTTTACAAGACAAAAAATTCAATAATGAATATCAGAGGGGAATGTTTTTTCTCAAAAAGTCGTACTCCCTCTGTATCAATTTAAGTGTCTCGTTTCCCTATTCAAGTTGTATCAACTATCAAATTAATTGTAATATTTCCTTTTTGGAAAGAAATTTACCCCAAAAGCAGCTACAGTACACTTTAATAAAGTATGGATTACCGCTACTGGACACAAGAACTCATACTTTTTGTAAAGTTTACTGTAAATCTACAACATTGTTTTGAACTGCGTAAAAAGCCTATTGTTCCAGTTAAAGTAATACGGAGGAAGTATTATACTCCTGATAGACATACAGCTCAGCAACCTATTAAATATTTTAATAAAGTGTACACAAGGAGGAAGGGTAGTTAGTAATTAGCTAACTAGTTGGTTATGCTATTTTGTCCCTGCGTGGACACTTTACTATAAATAGAAGGCTATTAGCTGGCAATAGGGGGCGGTTATTTTATGTTGGGTATAGACTTTGGAGATTGGGCATCTCAAATAAGCCCCTGAGCACTGTATCCCTGTGATCTGTTTAGTTGGAGAATAAAACAATTTTGATTTGTTCTTATCAGTTTTATTGTGCTTGCCATCTTAATTGAGCTTCGGATTACCAGTCATCTATCATTGGTATCAGAGCAGTAGCTCCTGGGGTTCGTAATTGAGTTGCAACTTCAGCATAGCTCTCGTTTCAGAGGTGGATGGTTAGAATGAGAGCCAAAATGGAAAATCACATGGATACGTTGGAACAGGAGATGAGGACTGCAATGGCAAACATCGCAGCTTCTATGGCAGCGATGAATGAACAAATTCAGAGCATTCGTGATCAGCCCCGGGGGAGATCGCGATCACACCATTCGCGAACCTCGCATAGCCCAGCGCAGTCGAGAGGTAATTCCGTACATTCTCACGTTCACACTCATAGAAATCCAGTTCATATGGGTAGAAAGGTAGATCTACCTCTGTTTAATGGTGATGGTGCGTATAATTGGATTGTGAGAATAGAGCGATATCATCGACTGAATCATATTGAAGAGGAAGATAAGGTGGAAGTATCAATGGTAGCAATGGGGGATAGGGCTTTAAACTGGTTTCAATGGTGGGAACACCAAGCTGATGAAAAAATTTGGGAAAATCTGAAGGTCGCTGTGATGCGCAGATTTCAATCAGATTCAATACAGAATCTGTATGGGCCCATGCTGAGTTTGAGGCAAACGGGAACTGTAGAGTATAGAGATGAGTTTGAGATGGTCATAGCTCCCCAAAGAGATGTTGACAGGGGTATACTGCGACGCATTTTCATTAATGGCCTTAAAGAGGATGTTAAGGCTGAACTGAAACTTTATAATTCTAGGTCATTATCTACCATCATGGACAGGGCTTTATTGACTGAACAGAGAAATGATGCTATATATGTGAGGAGTAAAGTTAAATAAAATAGTTAGGAAAGATAAGGGACCTATGAACTATAAACCACCAGTTTGGGGTGAAGGGTATAAGTCAAAGCCTGGAAGTTCATGGCCAAATACTGGTGGCAAAAATGCTGCAGATAACAGAGGAAACCAACCTTGGTTCAATCCTATGGGGAAGGTGACTGAAATCAACCCATCTGAGATAAGGCGTATGGGACCCCAACTGTCTCAAGAGGAATATCAAGACAGGAGTAGAAGGGGTCTTTGTTTTAAATGTGGGGAAAAGTGGAGTAAGGAACACACTTGTAAGTTGAAGAATTACGAATTGATATTGATAGAAGACTCTGATGGTGAAGAAGATCTGGAAGTAACAGAACCAGAAATTGCAGAAGAAGAGGAGATTAACATGGAGTCTAAATCAATGCAACTTTCTGTGATGAGCAAGGGATACCATCCATGAGGGCTTTTAAGGTGCAGGGAAATCTGAAATGGACTCAGGGAGAAAAACAAGTGGAGGTACTTATTGATGGTGGGGGTACCCACAATTTCATATCACAAAAATTGGTGGAGCAATTGGGCATACCTTATCAGACCATTTCTGGATACAAAGTGCAGATTGGGAATGGAGATAAGATAACCAATAATGGCAGATGTGAGGGATTAATTCTAAGTTTGTAGGGAACTATTATCCAGCAGAAGTTTTATATACTGGAATTGGGGGGAACTGACTTGGTTCTTGGCATGGAATGGTTGACTAGTTTGGGGGATGTAAAAGTTAATCAGAAGTTAAGCATCAAATGGCATCAGTTTGGGGAAAGACAGGCTATACAAGGAGATTTACAACTAAGTTCTATTGAAGTATCACTGCAGACCATGTCACAGATCATACAGGATACTAGTGATGGATATCTGGTATTCTGTGAAGGCATGTTAGTGGAAGGAGAAGAAGAGCAACAGAAGGACCACATTTGGGAGGAGTTAATGGCAGAATTTCCTGAGGTATCAACTCCCATAAAAGGGCTACCTCCCCACAGAACCTGTGACCATGCTATCAACATAAAAGGAGCAGAGATACCTAACATAAGGCCATACAGATACCCACAGTATCAAAAGAATGAGATAGAAAAGATCATCAAGGAAATGCTCCAGTCTGGGATCATACAGCACAACAACAGTCCATACAGTAGTCCTATCTTGTTAGCCAAGAAGAAGGATGGGGATGGAAGTTTTGTGGAGATTATAGGGCTCTGAACCAGATCACCGTTCCTGATAAATTTCCCATACCCATTATTAAAGAGCTGCTGGATGAGCTAGGAGGAGCCACTATATGTACAAAGTTGGATCTCAAATCTGGGTATCATCAAATTAGGATGAAAGCTACAGATATTCATAAAACTGCTTTTAGAACCCATGAGGGGCATTAAGAATATTTGATCATGCCATTTGGGTTAACTAATGCCCCCTCCACTTTTTAGTCCCTCATGAATCAGGTTCTAGGACCTTTTTTGAGAAAATTTGCTTTGTTTTTTTAATGACATACTTGTCTACAGTCGGAATAGGGAAGCACATCAAGATCACCTGAGGAGTGTTCTAAAGGCTTTGAGAGAGAATCAGCTAGTGGTTAACCTAAAGAAGTGCTCTTTTGGACAATCACAACTAGTATATTTGGCACATATTATTTCTGGGAAAGGAGTATCAACTGATCCTTCCAATATTGAAGCAATGGTAAGTTGGCCTGAAACTAAAGATTTGAAGGGATTAAGAGGTTTTCTGGGGCTGACTGGATATTACAGGAGTTTTGTCATGGGGTATGGTGATACGGGCAGCTTGTGTGCAAGATCTCGTCACAGGCCTTCGGGTGAATGGGAGGGTAGACTGAGCTTTGGAAGGGTTGGCTATGTTTACTGTTTGGCAGAGAACTAGGAAAAATATAATTATGCAAACTTTTATCACAAGTTGGAATTTTTTATTGAGAATTCCAGAAACTCCCTTAGACTTTTCTTGCTAAAAACTTGCATACCTTTTCCCTGCATTCAACTGGCCATTAAATAGGCTTTACAGAGTTTGGAAAATAAAATAAAGAAAACAACTTAAAAGAAAACAATAATTCAAAGATTGCAATCAGAAAATAATATCTCAGATCTCTCAGGATCTCAAATCCCTGACTGTGACATGTCAATCAGATTTGTCTGATTTATTTGTCTCCCAGATTTGTTTGATTTTATTTGTCTTCCAAATCAGTCAGATTTGTTTGTGTTATTTGCTGATTTTTATCTTTCTTTCTTTTACGGTGATATTGACGCCCTATGAATGCATCATTACTCCCTTCGTTGAGATCAAGCTTGTCCTCAAGCTTGAAGGTAGGGAAATGAAGACTGAACTCATCGACATCCTCCCAAGTAGCCTCATCTGGATGCATGCCAGACCACACCACTAAAATCTCTTTTTTGCCCCTGTTAAGACGACCCCGTAAGACCTCTTTTGGCTGTGGCAGAAGTTTCCCATCGTGAAGATTAGGTAGTGTGGGAGACTGTGCTGGTGGCGTTCCCTTAAATTCCTTCAGTAAAGAAATGTGGAAAACATCATGGACTTTACTACCCTCCGGAAGGGCTAACTTGTATGCCACTTTGCCAATTTTCTTGATGATCTGGAATGGTCCAAAATACCGTGGAGATAATTTCGCTGATGTCCGTTTGGTTACGCTGAATTGACGATATGGGTGCAGGCGAAGCCAAACCCACTGTCCCTCGTTAAACACCACATCTCGGTGGTTATTGTTGTATGCAAGACGCATTCTGTCTTGAGCCCGTATGAGGTGATTTCGAGCAGCGCTCAAGATTGCATCTCTGTCCTTCAAAGCAGTGTCTACTGCTTCTATTTTGGATGATCCTGGTTCGTAGGATATAAGCCTCGGTGGTTCACGCCCATATACGACCTTGAAGGGTGAAGTACCCAAAGCCGAATGGAGAGAGGTGTTATAGCAGAACTCAGCCCATGGCAGCCAGTCTACCCACCTGCGTGGGTGATCTCCTACCATACATCTGAGATACATTTCGAGTGTGCGATTAACGACTTCTGTTTGACCGTCCGTTTGTGGGTGATAAGATGAAGAAAATGCCAAGTGTGTGCCACATAACTTAAAGAGTTCCTTCCAGAATAGGCTTGTGAAGACTGCATCTCTGTCACTGACTATTGTTTCAGGCAGGCCGTGTAATTTAAAGATATTAC